TGCTGAATCAGTTGTGCCATGTTTTGTGGAGCAGAATAAATTAGTCGACTTGTTCATGGGGTGGTGGTTTTCACACTGATTTAATTATCTTTTTTTTTTTTTTTTGGTGGTATGTAACTGATACATCCGAATGTTCTTTTGTCGTACCTTACCATGCCAATTGCCCAGCTTTCTCATTTTCATTCATCCCACAATGGGATGGCATCCATTGTATTGTGACCCTACACTGACACGTTTAGTCAAAAGTGTTCTTAATTCTAGTAGTTTTCCGTATCAATCCAGTCATCTCGTGTGAGATCAATTTTTCGTTATTTGAAGCCCTACTCTGGCTCTTGCCAGGGGCCGCAATATAGCCCGACCGTAAATATGGTCTAATGGCTGAACGCGGTTTCTGGGACCTCTCCACGGTGATCCTCATCCACATGGTGGCACTTTGTGTCATTGGGTGTTTATCGCTTGTGTTATGTCCTAGTGGGGTAAAATCTACGACTACGACTACTGGTAGTTTTTCAGATTGGAGGGCTTCGAGTACTGATTTTGTATCTGTCAGTATTTCCACAGACTGTGAGCCAAAATTAGGATTTAGTAATTTCTCTGTTACTATCTTGATTGCATTGGTTTCAGTCTTATAGTTACGACAGCAGTTCCAGATTAGTACTCTGGACTTAACCGTAGTACCATCTGGGAATTCAGAATTATACGTACACTCCCGCACCTCCATGTCTAACTTCATTATGTCCCGATCTGCCTGTATAAACACGAATCCACTGTTATTGTGTGTATTCTTTATCAACTAAAAATGGCCCTTCAGTGTTTTTTGCTATCTTGCTCTTTCTTTGTCGAATATTCCTTTCATATTTGTCTGGGGTGGGGGAGGGGGTGGCTCGAACAAAATAAGGTGGGTTGGAGAGAGAGGTCCGCGTGGAAGTTTCAGGCCCCCCTCCCCTCACCCACGCGCAAACAGTTTTTAAATTTAGTTCATTTGAGCTTGTAAACATCAGTTAGACTAACATTTCAAATTAGTTACATTCATTGGCCTTTTTCCTCGACATACTTTTACGAATCCGCATGTTCAGCTTTAACAGTCATAAAAACAAACAGCGCTGCCCCTTGAGGCTGAGAGTGATCTTCGTCGTTATGACTTGTCCAACATCAAACCAAAAATAGCAGATATCCGTACAAGACAGTGTCAGCCATCACACTGATGTCTGGATACCAGTTGTTGCTGTTTCATTTTCCTTTTATGTTATTTGACACTTTGATTTATGTGGATGTTTGTCTCCAAGTTCTTGTTAATATTGCTTTGGTTTTTTATTTTTTATTTTTAATCACCTTTTAAAAGTGATAAATCTAACTGGGCGCCGCCTGAAAAAAAAAGGTTGAAAACCACTAATCTACTTCATGAAATATGTTGGCATGAACGCCAATTCTTCAACATCCCCAATGCTAAACTATTTATGAGTCAGTTGTCACCGATTGCTAGTGCTTTTCTCAGCTCCTTGATGAGGTTTCCTGCTTGGGATCTTTTAAATATCCTTCTGTAGAATTTCATTTCCAGTAATATTATTTTGTGTGCAATTGTTTTTATTTTCTTCTTATTTCTGTGTGGATTGGTTCTGGGCTTCCATTTTTGTTTTTTCTTTAATTGAAATGGATTTTACAGGCGCCCCAAATGGAGTCGCGGGATCTCACTGACAAGAAAGCTGTAATGTCAGCATGTCTAATTTGTGGCAATCCTGCGGCTGAGATAACTCACTGTCTCACAGCTTGTGATTTTACAAATTCACTGATTATATGTGATTACCGGTTATCAAAATGGATACAGATGAATGTCCTCTCTCTCTCTCTCTCTCTCTCTCTCTCTCTCTCTCTCTCTCGCTCTCTCTCTCTCTCTCTCTCTCTCTCTCTCTCTCTCTCGTTTACTGACGTATGCTCTCTGCATTTCCCTCGCTCATTCACCAATTCTCTCTCGCATGCTTTCTCTCTCGCTCTGTCTCTCGCTCTCTCTCTCTCTCTCTCTCTCTCTCTCGTTTACTGACGTATGCTCTCTGCATTTCCCTCGCTCATTCACCAATTCTCTCTCGCATGCTTTCTCTCTCGCTCTGTCTCTCGCTCTAAATCTTTCCTTTTCTCTCGTTCACTCTTTCTCTTTCGCGCGTGCTCTGTCTCTCCCTCTGTCTTCCGCTTTGTCCTTGTCTCTTTCTAGTTCACTTTTTCTCTTTTTTTTCTCTTTGTCGTCCACTCTTTCTTTCTCGCAGTGGCTCTCTTCCTCGCTCTGTATCGCACTGTATCTCTCATTCTTTCTTTCTCGTTCACTTTCTCTCGCAGATGCTCTTTCTTTTACTCTGTCGCGCGCTCTCTCTCTCTCACACACACACACAGTCTCTCTCGTTCTATCTCTGCCTCTCTCTCTCTCTCGTTCGCTCTTTCTCTCTCGCAGGTGCTCCCTATATGTCACTCTTTCTCTCTTGATCTCGCTCGCTCTATCTCTGTGTCTTTCTGTATCTTTGTCCTTCTCTCTCCGTTACTCTTCCCCTGTCTCTCTCCACCCCTCCCCTTCTCTGCCCTCACCATTCTCTCTCCCTCATTAATCAGGTTTTCCTATGCGAGAAAGTCAAGCTAAAGCCTCGCACTTGAAGTTGTTGAGTTCATGTCTCCAACTAGGTCGTGTATGTGAAAGATGGCAGCACATCGTACAGTCTGCACGCGCTGCTAGTCCCACACTTTCACAGACCATGTTTTACTCGATTTATGCTGTGATTATATCATGCAGGCCGCTTTTATTTCCCAAAATATTTTCTTGTAATAATGTTATGCTGGGTCAACTTGGGAGCTCTAGTCATCTCTATCCTACACAAGAGTCTAGGGTAGTTACAGAAGCTGCTTTGTGTGATGCTTGAGAGAGAGAGAGAGAGAGAGAGAGAGAGAGAGAGAGAGAGAGAGAGAGAGAAAAGATAAAGAGAGAGATTATTATTATTATTATAAATATTATTTTTATTTCTGCTGCTGCTCCCCGTGTAGATTTCGGAGTCCTGTTGTGAAAAAGGCAAAAATAAACTCACTGCCTGCACAATAACTGTAACCTATAGTGCCATTTCAATAAGTTGAAATAATGTCTTTCCGTATTCCATAGTTGTGGATTTCAAGCTGTACGATAGACATGGCCAATGAGACACCTTTTTTTTTTTGGTGGGTGCCTAGTTGACCATGTTCTTAATGCACTTGTATTCATGGCTAGGCGCAGACTGGAGGTGACAGGTTCAATTCCCGGCACGGTAGCTATAGCTTTCGATTTTTATGTTGCCTATTGTGTTCTTCTATCTTTCTACTTCTTTCTATGAGTGGCGATCAATACACTTTCTGTTACTTGATTACTCCACAACAAGCATGTCGTAGAAGTCGACTAATTGGGAGCATCTTTTGAAGGCGGAGTACATCTGCCGAGAGGCAAAGAACCAAAATTCTGCATACAAATGAGCCAGGTATGCAAATCTGATGTACACGCAACACTCAGGCTTTGGGAAAATGTCTGGAATCCAAAAATGGACAACAACCAGAACTGTCCGCCAGAGTTTACACCCTGTAAACGCAAAAAAGCAAGAAGATTACTGCTACTATTATTACACATCTAAGCAAGGTTTAGGTTTCTTTGGATGGGCGGGCAATGTTAGTCCCTATTCTGTACAGCTACTTTGTAAAGATAATGTAAATGTTTCCCCTTCCTGCCATGTCCACGAGGGTGGTTTGTGACTTCGGCCTTTAACAACAATTTGTGGTTGTCAAGACGAAGGAGCGCCTTGATGTGCTTAAGTGCAGATGTGCCCACGTTTTCTAATGGACCGGGTCTCCTAATCAGCGTTTGCCACTCTTTTCCACGGTGTCCGTCCTCAGCCACAAGAAGCTTTGGTTAACAGTTTCCTTTCATCTAGTACAATGGTTCTCAACCTTCCTAACGCCGCGACCCTTTAATATAGATGCTCATGTTTTGGCTACCCCCTCTCCCACCACAATTATTTTTGTTTTTACTTCATAACTCCAATGAATAAATGTTTTCCTATGGTCTTTGTGGACCCATGTGGAAGGGTCGTTCTACCCAAACAGAGGGTCACGACCCTTGTGAAAGGGTCGTTCTACCCGAACAAAGGGTCGCGACCAACAGGTTGAAAACCGCTGATGATCTAATGCGACACTCCGTCAGGGTTGCCAGATAAAAAACTTCATTTTATGCCAAACCATTACCCAAAAAATGCCAGATTTGTGGGATCTGGCATAAAAAATGCCAATATGGCAACCCTGCTCTCCGTGTGGTTTCCAGGAGCTCCGTTTTAGATAGCAAGAATAAACTCACTGCAAGGAACAGCAGTCTGCATGCAAAACAACAACGAGCCAGGTGACTGGCCGAAAAGATCATCCTTCATACATTTATTTATTCATCCGTTGGGCGCCATCGTTTAAATTCTATGTAAATTGTAAACAAACGCGATGCATTCCGACTTCGTTATACCTCAGCCAGTCGGAGATTATTGCGTTTCGTGGAAGCAACAGTGATGAAGCGGTTCAATCCAGAATTATGCAGACAAAAGGACATGATCGTCACCTTGTGTTTGCCCTGGTAGTCACCTTGCGTTTCCCTGGTGAAACAGGCAGATACTCTTGAATGTAGTCGAATGTATGTTTAAGTTCGAAGGATTCATTTATTTGTTTCATTTTAATCTAATTCTATTGTAGTATGCACCTGATGAAATACAATGAAATATGCCAGGCAATAAATTGCGCAATCCACAGACTGTCTTTATTGTTCACATAATTAATATGCTACCTGGCTGTAAATATAGAACTATATAGTTGACGTCGGTTTCCCAGTTTAATTCGTTATTAAAAGATGTTCGGAAACGAAGCTGTTCGAAAACCGAGGTTCCGCTGAGTGTGTGAAAATATGCATGAAAATTTTAGCAGGTCTGTACGTTGTGTGGGAATAACGAAGTTGACTTTCTGTGCAGGCGAGAGAGTGGTCATAGATACGGATATTCTCATCAAAAGTATGGGACCGATTTCAGAGAATGATATGGTGAGTTTCTGTACATGAGTGTTGTATTATTGCTAGATGTAGTGTTTTCTACAATTCATTGTTGAGTTTTGTGCTAAATAGTGTGTCTTCTGCAATGCATTGTTATGTTTTGTGCTGAATGTGGTGTCTTCCATAATTCTTTGTTGTGTTTTGTGGTGAATATGGTGTCTTCCATTATTCTTTCTTGTGTTTTGTGCTAGATGTGGTGTCTTCCATAATTCTTTGTTGTGTTTTGTGCTAGATGTGGTGTCTTCCATAATTCACTGTTGTGTTTTGTGCTAGATGTGGTGTCTTCCATAATTTTTTGTTGTGTTTTGTGCTGAATATGGTGTCTTCCATAATTCACTGTTGTGTTTTGTGCTAGATGTGGTGTCTTCCATAATTCACTGTTGTGTTTTGTGCTAGATGTGGTGTCTTCCATAGTTCTTTGTTGTGTTTTGTGCTGAATATGGTGTCTTCCATAATTCACTGTTGTGTTTTGTGCTGAATATGGTGTCTTTCATAATTCACTGTTGTGTTTTGTGCTGAATATGGTATCTTCCATAATTCACTGTTATGTTTTGTGCTGAATATGGTGTCTTCCATAATTCACTGGTGTGTTTTGTGCTGAATATGGTGTCTTCCATATTTCACTGTTGTATTTTGTGCTGAATATGGTGTCTTCCATAATTCTTTCTTGTGTTTTGTGCTAGATGTGGTGTCTTCCATAATTCTTTGTTGTATTTTGTGCTGAATTTGGTGTCTTCCATAATTCACTGGTGTGTTTTGTGCTAGATGTGGTGTCTTCCATAATTCTTTGTTGTGTTTTGTGCTGAATATGGTGTCTTCCATAATTCACTGTTGTGTTTTGTGCTGAATATGGTGTCTTCCATAATTCACTGTTGTGTTTTGTGCTGAATATGGTGTCTTCCATAATTCATTGTTGTGTTTTGTGCTAAATAGGGTGTCTTCCATAATTCACTGTTTTTTGCTGATTATGGTGTCTTCCATAATTCTTTGTTGTGATTTGTGCTGAATATGCTGTCTTTCATAATTCTTTGTTGTGTTTCGTGCTGAATATGGTGTCTTCATATTTCACTGTTGTGTTTTGTGCTAGATGTGGTGTCTTCCATAATTCTTTGTTTTGTGTTGTGCCAAATATGGTTTCTACGATTCGTTTGTGTATTCTGTTACAAAGAATATGACTTTACAGATGATTGTTGTATTGGGTGGCACACATGTTTTCTATAAATCATTGTTGAATTTTCCAACACATATTGTTTTCTAAGAGTCATTGTTGAATTATCTGATACATTTTTTAAAATCTTTTTTATAACTTCTTCTTCTTAATTTTCACTGACATTAAAGTAAATTCTGCCGGTATGATACTGACCATATCTCCCACCGAGAACCGACTGGTCTTGAAAGTACAGTGTTAGCAGTTGGCATCATATACTTAACACTACTGGTGACATAACAGAGGTCCTGTCATTTATTTGCGTTATATCCAGCACTCGATAACTGAAAGATCATAAAGTGCATTCGGAAATCTTGCACCAGGGACTGATGTGCAGATACGCAGTTTCTCAGGTTGATTACTTTCTGTGAATCCTTGACAATGAATAAACAAGCCAGACATTTTAGTGAGGCGTCAGAGATGTGGTTTTAAAGAAGAATCTTTAGCATTTCTTGGTCAGCCAGCAAAAATCAGCCCCGATGTTTTGAAAAAGGCGAGGGCTCGGAGACAATTTATCACAAACATCAGAGACAGTAATAATTGTTGGTCCTGTTATGAGAAGAAGGATACTCTAACAAGCTGTAACCACTGGAAAAATCGGTCGGAAAAGAAGCAGAGGAAGACAACGCGAGACGCTTTTTGACAGCCTGTTGTCCTGGCATGGGAGGGGGAAGAGGGGTCAACACACTGACTGATACATGCTGTTTAAGATCGCAGATTGTAAAGATATATGATCGTCTATGTCTCTCGGCAAGGCACTTGAAGATGATGATGACGTACTTGATACAGTTCCACAACTCTCAACCTGGATTACTATTTTCTGACCAGGCTTGTGGACTCGAACAAAGTTCGTCAATTCTCTTTCCATAGTTCATAAATACTAGCACCCAGGGAACTGTCGCCTCCTACGAATTCCCCAGCCTCATTTGCTAGAGTGATTGTTGCGTCGGGAAAGGGGGGGGGGGTTGGAAGCAGTGTCGAAAGTAACGTATGTACATAAGTATGTCTAGTATGTCTATACACCCATACACACACACACACACACACACACACGCATAGGTCATATGTTCCAATCCAATTTGAAGTGGTTGTGGGTAAAGTGTCATGTCAACCTGATTATAAAGCTAAAAGGGGTCAATTGAGCATGTTCATTCAAACTGGCGATTGATACGAAACTAACAATTTATGCTTCATACACTTAAAAACTGTGAAATGGGATCTTCACGTATATATAATATAAATCAAAAGAAAATTAATCACCTGTAAGATGAAATATTTGAGACAGGCTGCGAATCAAACCAGAAATAATTTCCTCAGACCGTAATGATCTATCTGCGCCTCAGCACTGTTCACTCGTTCCCAAAAGGCCCTTGTCATACATCAGTTCCCCACCAAGTGGTGCAGAACCAGCCAGTCTATCTGCCTGCTAACTTCCCAACACATCGGTATGACCTGGACAAAATATCCAAAGGATGCTAACTACCTGGGACCTCAGAAGTGATGCTTGCCACTCTGCACGAAGCCTGCCTGTCTTCACCTTTCTCAACGTTAGGCTGTTTATGACTGCACTACCCAATTTTACGTTCGGTAGTCTACCGCAGCTTTTTTATTTTTTTTTATTTTCAATAACAGTCGACTCTCGAAACCACTGTTGAAACCAACGCAAAGCGTTCTGCTGCCAAATCGGCCGCAGTTAGGATCGAATCCGGCACCACAGATTTCATTAGGCGTGTACGCAACCATCGTTTAATTCAATGATAAACAAACATTGAAATGTGTCGGCGATCTGGTGAGAACGAATACTGTAATGTAGGCAGCGAAAGAGTACATCCACATGGAAACACGAAAGGCAGGGGGAGACCTAGAAGAACATGTACTGACACAGTAACCGACAGCCAAAGATTTCATAACATCCCAATATAACAAGTAATCGAGCGCACCCTAGCTTGACTACCTATCATTGGTTAATGTCACAATGAAAGTTCAAAGATGACCGCCCCACTTTTGACATGCACTAAAGAGGACCAGTGTTCTGTTTTCCATGTTAATTGTTTTCCAAATCATTGAAGAGATAAAGCTTATAGAAATTAGTCAGCAAATGAAGGACCAGTATCGTGACGCTTGCCTGTCAGTCCAGCAAGTATATGAGTGGAGTAGGCAGTTTCAAAACACCGTGATTTCTATGGCAGATTGTTCATAACAGGGCCACGCCTACCAAATAGTGATCCCAAAGACATTTTGCAAAAGTCCCGTTCTTTATTAATATCCTACCCGAGATGACGTTACATGACAGCCCAACACTTCAGAGGGTGGTAAGACTGACTGCGTTTCCCGGCTTTCCGATGCTTTTAACGACCCCAAGTTCCGTGGCATACATAAATAAATATTTTAAAAAATGGACAGCCCCCTTGCTGTCCGGAGGTCGTAGCTCACTGGCAACCAATGTCCTAGACACTCTCACCCAACCATGCGAATTCCACCAATATCTTCTTGGCTTTGGTCAACCTAATAGTGAATACTATCTATCAAAATTACAAGGCACTGACTCACATGCAGTGCTATCAATCCTACAGGAATGCTTGCCTCTGGATTTAAGGTAAAGGAAATATTGCTGGCTGCAATCACAAACTGGCCCTAACCCCAACCCACCTACGTCCCACGAGAGAGTACAGCCTAGGCCCCAGGACTGAATGCAGCCTACATCCCACGACTGCCTATCTACCACCCCCTAAAATATTAGACTGTCCCGTGACCTGTGGATTTCCTCTGTTTGGGGTAGAATATTAATAAAGCACCAAAAATTGTGTATGGTGCTGGATGCGTTAAACGTCGTTACGTATGTTTCTAAAGAAATCTTTCGTTGATCCTCGACCACCCAGTCCTACTCCATGCAGGTGTACTTCCGCCAGCGCTGGAAAGACGAGCGACTATCCTTCTACCTGCCCAACATCACCAGGCTCACGCTCAGCAACAAGTTCATCAACAACATCTGGAAGCCCAACAGCTACTTCATCAACGGGCGCAACAGCAAGCAACACAACATCACCGTGCCCAACGCTTTCGTTCGGCTGAGCTACGATGGTAGTATCTATATGTCGGTCAGGTGAGAGTCAGGGTGTCGTTGTTCACACTGTGATATGTGAGTCAGAGTGTCGTTGTTCACACTGCGATATGTGAGTCAGGGTGTCATTGTTCACACTGTGATATGTGAGTCAGGGTGTCGTTGTTCACACTGCGATATGTGAGTCAGGGTGTCGTTGTTCACACTGCGATATGTGAGTCAGGGTGTCGTTGTTCACACTGTGATATGTGAGTTAGGGTGTCATTGTTCACACTGTGATGTGAGAGGGTGTCATTGTTCACACCTCGATATGTGAGTCAGGGTGTCATTGTTCACACTGTGATATGCGAATGAGGATGTCCTCGTTCACACTGTGATATGTGAGTGAGGATGTCCTCGTTCACACTGTGATATGTGAGAGTGTAAGTTGTGGTTTTAGTTGTTCACATTGTCAAGTCAGAGTGAGCGTAAGTTGTGTTGTAGCTGTTCATATTGTTACGTGAGACGAAGAAAGTTATGATTGTAGTTGCTTCCTTTAGCAGGTGAGAGTCAGCGTAGTTTGTGATTGCAGCCAGCAATATTTCCTTTACCTTAAATCCAGAGGCAAGCATTCCTGTAGGATTGATAGCACTGCATGTGAGTCAGTGCCTTGTAATGTTGATAGATAGTATTCACTATTAGGTTGACCAAAGCCAAGAAGATATTGGTGGAATTCGCATGGTTGGGTGAGAGTGTCTAGGACATTGGTTGCCAGTGAGCTACGACCTCCGGACAGCAAGGGGGCTGTCCATTTTTTAAAATATTTATTTATGTATGCCACGGAACTTGTAGCTTTTAGTAGTCACCCTGAAGAACTTATTGTAACTGACACATATTTCAATCGCAAATTTCCCCTGTTGGTTCTGTGGCCCTGTTTTGGGGAGGGCAGAGAACAGACAAACTGGCCACCTGGCGGAAAAGGTATCTTCTTCTTCAGTTTTGTTTAGCTTTTCTCCACAAATTGACAAGGTCAGTTACATCCGTTTTTTGTGCCCCGTCACAGGCTGACAGTGAACGCCCGATGCCCCATGATGTTATCTCGCTACCCGATGGATAAGGTGGTCTGTCCACTCTTTATTGGAAGCTGTGAGTACATTTTTGTACTAATTTTATTATCTCTTTCAGTCCACTAGTCTCACACAAGATACCATTTGTGACCTGCTAGCCCCACTCTGTACCAGCTCACACACTAATATCTAATCGCATGTATACCATTTAAATCGACCAGTTATTATATAAATAAGAGGCGCTCTATTACAAAAGCTTGAAATAAACATCAACGGGACTGGTGGGGTCAAACAAAGCATTTAAATGAATTATATTATGCACAATGGGTTGGTAAAAAAAAAGTAGCCGCAGGCATTCAGGCAGGCATGTTATTGCTTAGGTGGCGAATGCTGTCGGCAAAAACAAAAGTATTGTGGTTGCTCACTGATTCAAGTGTGTACCTTGTCAACATCCATGGTAGCCCACTGTAAACACACCTTCCGATATTGCAGTTTTGGTAAATTTTACGCTCGTCTCCCCATTAGCACAACGCTACACACTAGCTCGCTTCTGATTGGACGACCTACTGACCAGCTTACTACTGATAGGTCGGCCTCGAGCAATCCGACTGTCACACAAGCTTACAGGGATATTCCGCCCTCGCGCTCATACCGCGTGTTGTATATTTCACCATTCCAGAGCTTTTAACTCTTCTGAAACATTTAGATACTGGGTCTAACACACAACCCCCTTGAAAGTGACAAAACCTATGTCACAGGCCATCTCTTTCTCGGAAATAAAAACGTAAATACCACGCAACAACAGACTGCGACACCCAAAACCTTGACCACGGTAGACTAGTCAAACCAACTTATGATTGGAGTCGACCTATACAACCGGTGATGTGCTAATGGAAAGACGCGCATAAAATTCGCCGCAGTTTTTCACGAATAACCGTTTAAACTGCTCCAGCTGACACGTCGAATTCTTTCGCTAGCGAACGTATGCGTTGACAACAGTTCACCTGTATTACTGCACAAGTTTTGATGATGGGTTTTTTCTTTCTCCCTGTTGCTGCAACAATACGCGTTTGGCTCGTCCATGAAAGATCTGTCGTAAACTCAAGTCTTTTCGAAATATTCGTGCCCAGGCTGTCACTGAGTTGTCGACGCACATTTGTTACCAAACACTGCCTTCATTCTTCCATGAATGTCCACTGGTCGACATCCTTCGCATGAAATCAAATGAAGCACCCCTCTTTGAACTTCTTTGGACGGACTTTAAATCAACACGACCATTTTCGCAACAGACAGAAAGAGAACACTCATACGACAATAAATACACTTTTAAAAAAAATACTTATCACATGACCATCGCATTATCATTTTCAACGAATACAAATACGCATTTAATAACAGGCAGAAGAGTATATATATATATATATAAAAATCAATGTTTGTTTGTTTGTTTCACCCCTATAGACTCGGAAACTACTGAACCGATTTAGCTGAAATTTTCAGGATATGTTTGTTGTGATACCGGATTTTGAACAGTCGTGGTTTGAAATTTAACCTGTCACTGTTAGAGATAGGTGACCACAATTTATGCCAAAATATACGCAACTAATATTTATAACTTTAGTGATTTCTAATTATAGCCACGTTAGTAATTGCGCATGCGCCGTATTTACCATTCGCCGGCGAGTTACGCGCAGCCAACGCCTTCTCTAATACTAATACATAGAGTAGGTCGTGGTACAGCAAACAAGACTATCTCTATATTTGCCACAATAACCATATTAAACACGATTTCTATTTTCTGTTTTTTTTTTCAAACAACCTTCGATGGTGGGGGGGGGGGGCAATCAAGGACTATCTCGACGTCGGCGCAGACAGTGACTGCGACATTAACTTCATTAACCGTGTTAGACACGTGCGATTTCTATTTCATTAATATATCTGGAGTATCTGTCTACGAGAAAACAATTGCCTGCGGTTTTGAATTGTGCTTTAATCGCGACACAGTAGTATGGACTCACATGTCTAATAGTTGAGTTCTCTTTTCGTTGTTCCGATTAAGTGGCTGCTTGGTCGAATGGTTAGAACACTGGGTTCATGTGCGAAAGACCTGGGTTCGAATCCGCAGTCGTTAAATTTTTTTTTGCCCCGGACTAAAATAATATCATCATCTGCTCTGCCGTGGTGACAGCACTAGCCATGTTGCCTTAATATTTAAAAAAAAAAAAAAAAAAAAAAAAAGTAAATGGGTAAACCATTTGATAATTAAATTTCACCATTTCGCATACTTATGATTGCATTGTTAAACTTTCCGATTGCATGGTTACGCTGAAATTTTATACATTTTCATTTATTTTCATTTAGATTTAGTTATTTCATCTGTGTTGGAATTTTAAGCTGTGCTGTTTACAATGGCGTTCATTTCCTAATTATGGTGTTTTTTTCCTGTGTTCGTTTGCTTTTCAAGTGGGTTTTTTTTCTCCCAACTACTTCAATGAGGGAAAGAGTTGTCGGTGAATTTGGGGGGAGGGGGGGGGGCAAACTATTAACTGAGAGAGCTTTAAGTCACAGTAACTGCTTTAGCCCCATTCACTACCTATTACAATTCCTGCTCAACATTTTAGTCCAGATGGACAGGGATGTCAATGTCAGTTACAGCAACAACAAAATATCGCCAGGTAATGATTTTCAAATATTTCGAAGAGGGAGAAAGCAGTAGTCGGTGGAAGAGGGGATGGGAGGGGGGGGGGTAATGACATAAATTTGATAAGGGGGAGGGTAGTAGGTGGATTTAGTTGGGGGTGGTGGGGTGGGGATCAAAGACTATCTCCATATCTGAGCAGACGATGATTGTATTAGACACGTGCGATTTCTATTTTCTTTCATTTCCATTTAGCCAAACTATGCCACAGCAACGCGTGGCTGGGTACAGCTAGTATATATATATATATATATATATATATATATATATATATATATATATATATATATATATATATATATATATTAGGTCCAAGCAATAGGTGGCCACACAGCGGGAAGTCAACTGCCTATTGTATTACCTGTACTTACAATAAAGATTGTCGTGTGTGCTTTGTGTGCGTTCGGGTTCAGTGTGTGTAAAAGGTTGGTCTGTCTGTCATAGGCCCAGTTACGAGCCACGGACCAGCAAGGTCACCCAGAGGTCTGTGACAATACATACATATATATATATATATATATATATATATATATATATATATATATATATATATATATATATATATATATATATATATACAGTGGAACCTCGCTTAACGAGCATAATTCGTTCCAGACTCATACTCGTTAAGCGAAACACTCGTTATGCGAAGCAATTTTTCTCATATAAATTAATGTAAAATACGATAATGGCTTCCGTGTCGGAAAAAAAATACTCACAAGATGCTATGTATAAGTTATACTATAACATTTATTCAAAGAAAATTATATACATATTTAAGGAGAGTGAATCGTCTTCATCTTTTCTTTAAACGCGGAACGAACCCACATGGAATGCAAATGCGATTTGCAGGAAAAAAAAGTCGAAATAATTATGATACATAGCTAATTATTTATTTTACTAGAAAGATGTCCAGAGACATTTGTTTTTGTCAACACTTCAAAAATTTAGCGAAAATGCGACACAGCATTATTAATAAATTTGCAGCGCGCATTGCCACTTCCTTATTAGGGTGATGCTTCTCAATGTGAGAAGCAACAGTTTCCCATGCTTTCAGCATTTTTCTTATTTCGCCAGAAGATTGTTGCTTTTCTGTTACCTTCTCCTCCTCTGACAAACTTTTCTCCAAAACGTCTTGCTGTGAAACACAATGCAACTCCATAAGCTCTTGCGTGGTCAGCTCTTGGCTGTGCTCTTCCATAAGCTCTTCCTATGCGAAACGTCGCTCGTTAAGCGAGTCATTCTTTTACAATTTGTTTTGCTCGTTATGCGAATTACTCAACAGAACAGACCTAGCGTTCATACCTGAAAGAGTAATTCAACTGGGAGTGAGCAGAGAGGTCGGGACGATTTTCTATCCTCGGGGGATTTGACAGTTGAACGTTTTATCAGGTTGCAACTAGCACCATCAGTACGGCAACTTTTCGTGGTTCTTTTCTTTTAGACGGAGATTTCAATATTTCGCTGGGAGTTCCCGGGAAAGACCAATATTGTGGGGAAAAGGGGGGGGGGGGGGCGGGGTTTAGGATCAGAATTATTGTTAGTCGGTGGTCATTTCACGTGCTAACACCCCTATACTACAGAGTCCCCGAGATAGGGTAAATTAAAAAAAAAACTTGTTGTTGCTTTCTGAGAAAGGGTACGAAGTAGGTATAGGAATGTCCAGGCAATATTGTAAATTCAGTCATTCATTCGTTTAAAGCAGATGTGTGTTTTATATCTGTGCAGTGACCCAGCCACACTGAACAGTATGTTACTTGGTAACCGTCAGGTGACTGGTGTATACTGTTGAGCAGGGTTTCTATAATTCTTCTTTTTCATCTACTTAGTACAACAGTATACACAAACTTTAAACTGCGACGGAAAGTTTTGATTGTTCGTCCACACCTGAACTTTGCTCTTCTTTGAGAATATGAAGTTTGCATGCATATCTGTTTTATACGTTTGCTTATTTGTATGCAGACTGTTAGTTTCTTGCCTCTTAGGTAGATGTGCTCCAACTTCGTAGCATAAATTGATATTTGTCGCCTTTTACGACATGCTTGATAGAGATACAGAGGGTCCCCCCCCCCCCCCACAAAATGGGGCATTAGAAACCAGACGGAGTGGTTTCTGGGATTTACTACTTATGGATTCTCATCCAAAAAGTGGCTTTTTGAGTCAGTAGGTGTTAGTCTTTTAGAATACTGTTTGCCTCAGAGACAAGGAACCAACATTCTGCATTTAAGTGAGTCAGATATGTAAAACAAATCCGCACACACAATTTTAGTTCTGGGACATGACTAAAGTCCACAAGTGGACGAACAGCCAGAAATTTCTACCGAAGTTTACAGCCGGTTGGTGAGTGGTAAGAAGAAGAAGAAGAAGAAGAAGAAGAAGAAGAAGAAGAAGAAGAAGAAGAAGAAGAAGAAGAAGAAGAAGAAGAAGAAGAAGAAGAAGAAGAAGAAGAAGAAGAAGAAGAAGAAGAAGAAGAAGAAAAAGAAGAAGAAGGTAACGGATGAGGGGGAAGAGGAAGAGGAAAAGCAGAACTTGGTGCCAGAAAACATAAAAAGAAGTAAAGGCAGCCAGCTCAGTGTTAACAACAGCGCTCCTTGTGTGCCTATTTCTCTAACAGTATGATTTAACGACAATTACCCGATGCGGCGATGACGTGAAAGATCCTTTAATGATTGTAATCCTCATTTTGCTCTTCTGTTGCATCAAACTCCCAGTTGGCTACACAACGGACGACCTCATCTACCGTTGGGAGAACAAGGTGGACATCGATCCCGGCGTGGCACTGGCCCAGTTTGAGCTGGGGAAAATCGAGCAACAGAACATCTCCAAGAGAGGCGCCTTTGGTCAGTGGTCAGTTTCTTGTCCTTGTAGTTTGACTGTCCCGTTGTGTGCAATTCTTCGAATCTTTCAAGAAATCGTTGTTAGTTCCTCTGGTCGTCCAAGGTATTCGTAACATTCGTTTCAAAAACCACATCTGTGTTGCTTCCAAATTCTTTATAATTACATATTAATAATAGCAATTATTTTTATTACTATTATTATTCTTGGCAGCAAACTCAGGAGGGCAATTATGGTTGTTCATCCATCGCTGGACTTTGGTAATGATCCAGAATCTGAATTTTGCGTGCACATCAGTTTTACTGATCTGGCTTATTTGTATGCAGAGTGTTTGATCCTTATCTCTCAGGCAGATTCACCACGACTGTGAAGAAAGCGTCTGTTATTAACTGACTCCTACGACAATGTTTGTTAGAGTGCAGTGGACCTACTCTTTGTTCTCAGAAGTGGGACACCGAAAATATGTGGCTTTGGCGTAACGTAGAGTGAACAAACAAGAGCCCTGCAAATGCACTTAAGTGAAAAGCAACTAAAATTGCACCTACGCCAGCTTGACGTAGCGTCATCGGATTATCTATTCCATATTACGGTGTTCCGTAGCCATTACCATTTCTTACATTTACCTTATGTGCTGCCTATTACCTAATTACCGTCAAAATGGTCTTTTTAAAGTCCATGCCGTGTGGCGTTGGTAGTCTCGTCTATCCACAACCTTCTGTCTCGTGTACTTTCAGTCAACTCTGATACAGATGATCCTCCATGCCATGATGCCAAACTGTCCAGCAACCTTTCTCTTGGTCTCCCTCTGCCTCTCCTCCCCTCCAACTTTTCTGTTGTCACGATGTACTCCAGTTTTCTCATTCTCATCACATACCAAAGAATGGTAAGACGTGCAGATTATATATCTATTTTTTTTCCAGGTGAGATGTCAATCTTAGAGGTGTACATACACATGAGTCGTGCTGTGGGGTTCTATGTTCTGCAAACCTACGTACCTTGTTACCTGATAGTCAGTCTCTCGTGGGTCTCGTTCTGGATCAACAGAGATGCGGCTCCAGCTAGAGTTCTTCTAGGTCAGTACATAGCCCGACAATTCAATCATGAGTCTGATTTTAGTATGGCCAAATCTTCTACTTCTTCTTTCGTTGGCTGGAAATAAGATTATTATCTATATCTGCAAGTATGTCTGTAGTATGAACTTCACTGTCTGTTGTAAATCAAAACGACATCTATGAAACACAACACATCACCCAAACAAGCACCGATCACCTATAATCTGGTACAAAACAAAGCACAACAAATAACACGCCATTTTGTTTAGCTAGTGAAAGTTGCGTTGTTATCTATGCAACAGGAAGCCATATGTGAACATTAGTTCTGTTGAAAACGCGTAAACGAGCCCTTGAAACAGAAGAAATGCATGTTTACTTGTCAGGCTGTGTATGTGTTTCTTGGTAACGTCTGGCTTGTAGTCAGTGTATGGCAACAAATTGTTAATTTTTTTTTTTTTTTTGCTGCTTGTTGATTAACTGGGTTTTTTTTTTTTTTTTCGTTATCAATTACATTTATTGTTCCCTATTGCTTTCAACGTTACCTATAGCTCTCTATCTTACCTGTTTAATTTACTGTTGTCTTTTACTGTTAAGTATTACTTTTTATATTACCGATTAAATTTACTGTTTTCTGTAGCTTTTGATTACTTATTAATTTTGAATGTTAAAGGTTGTATTTATTGTTCCCTAATACGTTGACTGTTACCTATTACTTGTTGATATCTGTTAAATCAATTTTTCCCTGTTACTTTTAGTGTTATCTATGAGTTTTTATGCTACCTCTTACTCTAATTATTACTTTAATGCTACCGGTTACATTTACTGTTCCCTATTAGTTTTAATGCTACCGATTACTTTTATTGTTCCCCATTAGTTTTAATGCTACCGATTACTTTTATTGTTCCCTATTAGTTTTAATGCTACCGATTACTTTTATTGTTCCCCATTAGTTTTAATGCTACCGATTACTTTTATTGTTCCCCATTAGTTTTAATGCTACCGATTACTTTTATTGTTCCCCATTAGTTTTAATGCTACCGATTACTTTTATTGTTCCCTATTAGTTTTAATGCTACCGGTTACATTTATTGTTCCCTATTAGTTTTAATGCTACCGATTACTTTTATTGTTCCCTATTAGTTTTAATGCTACCGATTACTTTTATTGTTCCCTATTAGTTTTAATGCTACCGATTACTTTTATTGTTCCCTATTAGTTTTAATGCTACCGATTACTTTTATTGTTCCCTATTAGTTTTAATGCTACCGGTTACATTTATTGTTCCCTATTAGTTTTAATGCTACCGATTACTTTTATTGTTCCCTATTAGTTTTAATGCTACCGATTACTTTTATTGTTCCCTATTAGTTTTAATGCTACCGATTACTTTTATTGTTCCCTATTAGTTTTAATGCTACCGATTACTTTTATTGTTCCCTATTAGTTTTAATGCTACCGATTACTTTTATTGTTCCCTATTAGTTTTAATGCTACCGGTTACATTTATTGTTCCCTATTAGTTTTAATGCTACCGGTTACATTTATTGTTCCCTATTAGTTTTAATGCTACCGATTACTTTTAACCTTTACCTATTATATGTCCTAATCAGGACCCTGACATCGGGAAATCATACGGGGGAAGAGGAGCTGAGCTCCTCACTCCCCCCCCCCCCCCACTTTTTTAAAATACATTTTATAGGATCAAGGAGCCAAATACTTGTTAAAGAGCATAATAATACTGTGCTGAGTGGTAAACAAATATAATAATAAATTAACTAAAAATAAAATTAAATGAGTAAACATATTCTTAATGAGAATTTATAAACACGCCACCTGGATATTTCCCTCCTCGCTTCGCCGTTGAGAGTTTGCGTGCGCAGCTGACATCGTAGTACAGTACTAGTAACTGGTAGCTTTCACATGTTACAGTTTCTACGTAAGGGCGAAAGCATGCAGCGAGCGTATATTTTCGCTATGTTCGAGACGTAAGCCAGATGACGTATTTGTAATAAATGCTAAACAGTAATAATAAATAGTAGCAGTGGAAAATGTAAGCGAAGGTAACAGCCGTTTCATGCATGCCTCACTGGTGTCTTTGACTCACTTAAACATGCTGCTGACTTGTCTCCGGTAGGTGTAACAACAATTCTAAGCACGGCAGCTATTGGTATGACCGTCAGAGAGGGTCTGCCACGAGTACCCTACGCCACGGCGCTGGATGTGTTCCTCAACGTTTGTATTGTCTACCAGATGGCAGCACTGATTGAGTACGCAGCAGTCAACTATTTCACTAAGCTAATGCCAAAGGAAGGTGGTGCTGATGAAAGTGATGAAGAAGAAGTTGTGGTACGTTGTCTGTTATATATTTCTTCTTCTTCTTCTTCTTCTTCTTCTTCTTCTTCTTCTTCTTCTTCTTCTTCTTCTTCTTTTTGTTTTCTTCTTTTTTTTTCCTCTTCTTCTTCTGCGACTCCTTATCCTCCTCCTCCTTCAATTACACCCACCCACACTGCACTATAGTTATTCCGCAACCGTTTTGAGTTGCTCCAACTGTCAAAATGAAAAATATTAGAGAGGATATTGAAAGATCCAGGCGCTACAGACAGTCCACATACCACATGATTCTTGGGATTTAAAAAAAAGAGTTAACCAATTCTTCATGGACATATGTTACTTAAATCCATTAACCCAATTTAGAAGTTAAAGGTTTCCCATGAGCGCTCAGTCCCCATCGTCAACAGAAAGTGGAGATTTCCGATTTCAGTGGTACCATCTTTAGAAATCTGTTTTAAATGCCCCCGCCCACCCCCCCCCCCCCCCCCCCCCCCCAATGTGCATTAAACCATGATGTATGAAATGGGTGGGGGGGGGGGGTACCTACTTACTTTACTGCCTGCATGTAGCACTTTTTGAGGCATTGTGGGTAGTGGCGTAGCAATGGCTATAGGGGGTTGCGAGCCGCACCGGGTTTTGTCACTGAAAAAAAAAAAAGAAGAGGCTGGGATGACAAAAATAGGTGGGTTTTTTTTTTTAACCGGGTACTACTAAAAATAGAAGGGCGCATGAGACAACATAAAAATCGAAAGCTGTAGCTACTGTGCTGGGAATCGAACCTGTCACCTCCAAACGACGAATGTGCCGTGCTGTGATAACAATTGTACTAATATAGCTAGTTGGTCATGTATCTTAGTTCACATGTTTCTATAGCGGGGCGCGTTTGTCTTTTAAAGGTGAGAGGTTCGATTTCCCGCACAGTAACTACAGCTTTGGATGTTTTATTTTGTCATGCGTCCTTCCATCTTTCTAATACTTTCTGTGAGTGCCGATCAAGACATTTCTAAAATGTGTACCATTTAGCCCTCCATTTATGCAGGTGGCGGCTTCCAAGATGTCAGCCCGTTTAGACACACAGAGACTGCCACCTGGCGGCAAGTTACTCCCAGAAGGGGAGACGCTTCTTCAGTTGAACAACCTGCATGATGAACCAGTAGTACTGAAGCACAAGACGGGGCTTCCAAAAAGTGAGTACCGCTCTGATGTTCTCATAGTGATAGTCTGTAATCAAACCAGTGTTTAGGATGTACGAAGCCCCCCGTGCAGTCATTTATTTTACAGCCCCTCTTTATATATTAGCATGTTTTACTACTGTTATTTTTTGCCACCATTATCCCCCTCAGAATTGTTGCCAAAATGCAGCTGCACATGTTTCACACACCTAAACATTGCCCTAATTGTAATGTTTTCCTTTCGTTGTCATGGTGATGATTTATAAGTTTTTCTTGTTCTCATAAAAGTGGTTTAAATAGTTTACTCATTATTCTCATATGGCTAGTTTGGTTTTCTCATCGTTCATATTGTTAGAGTTTGTGTATATTTCTGGCTCCTATAGAAGATGTCTGGTTGGTCTCATAGTTATAACAATCAAGATAGTATGTGAGATTGAAAAAAACAGGTAGCAGTAAAGATAATAAGCAGAAGTAATTTTGAGTTATCTTATTTTTTTTCCATAGTAATGAGGCGTCTTTGCGTGTGTGTGTGTGTGTGGGGCGGGGGGGGGGGGTGTCTAATTAATATTTTCTAGGTCATTTACTTATTTTTTTTCATAGTTCTAGTTTGTATGATTTATTTGTTCTCACATGGATAGTTATCCTGTTTTTCTTATGGTTATGGTTGTGTAGGTTTTTCACTGTTCTCATAGAAGTAATTTGTGTACATTTCTCGTAGTGGTAATTTGTGTCGATTTTCTTTGTTTTCAGTTGCAATTTTGTAATTTTCCTTGTTCGCGTAAAAATAGTAATTTGTGTGGATTTGTATTCATTTGTAGGTTGGTGATTTGTGTGGATTTCTCAATTTTGTAGATTCACGCTGTTCTTGTTGTACCAAAATCCAAGCCTTTCGCAGATGATGCCTAAAGGAAGGAAAGAGACACAGTGAAAAATGAGATAAAGCCACTCCTTGAACCTATCCCTACTCCATGCCTATAAGAGCTCTAGCAAATAATGCCGTGGTGAGTGGAAGTCGAAACCCACACTCAGGCTGCTTTAGTAACAAGGGGGGGGGGGAGGGGAGTTCGTTAGGCTGGGGCTAAGACCAAATGTGTCTTAGCCCTGACAAATGTTCTGTATGAAAGCTAATTAGCAGTATCAGCAAAACCAGGCACACTAACTACAAGTTCTATCCTAAATCAAACTAGCCATCAAATTGAACATTTTTTTTTTCTGAACACAACACTAACGTGCTTCACAGATAACAGTACATTTACGATCAACATCGTGTTCACACAGACCATGTGCTTTACATTTCAGCTAACCCCCCATTGTGGGTTCCGGGGTCCCTTTGTGGGGAAAACAAGAATAGACCCACTGCCTCCCCAAAAGCATGTCGTAAGAGTCGACTAATTGGGGAGCTTCCTTTGAATTCGGAGTGCATCTGCCGGAGAGGCAAGGAACCAACATTCTGTATTCAGGAGAATGAGATCTGTAAAACTGATGCACACGCAAACCTCAGGTTCTGGAGCAGGACTGCAGTTCAATAGTGGACAAGCAACCAGAACTTTCCGCCAGAGTGTACAGCTGGTGAACGCGACGAAGAAGAAGAAGACTTCAGCTAACAAGTAAAACGTTTGCTTCCAACGACCTGGAATAATAAAATTTTTGAGCGATGATACAAATTGATATCTAGATCTAAAACGATGTAACTACTGAAGACAATTAGGATCTAACAGTACCGTCCAATTATTTAAACGTACCAACATCTTGAAATCAACAAGTCAATCCATCTCTCTCTATCTGCTCAGTCCTCCCACGGCCAGCTCCAGATTTTTAAATAGCCCAAGATGGGCGTGGTCCGCCACACCTACGCTGCGTTATACCAACTGTGGTTACGAAACGATTGGGTGACTGACCAGAGCGACGAGCCGAGAACACAACAGACCTTTTTTCACTTGGGTCTGGTCTTTTTCACAACCTTCTGATTTCCGAACTGGCCAGTTTTATTTGCAAGTGCAGCCAAACCAAAATTGTTAGCAGCTTCGCCAGCCTGCAACATTAAAGTGGTAATTTGTGTAGATTTCTTGATTTTCTCATAGTGGTCATGTGTGCAGATTTCTTGATGTTCTCATGGTGTTTATTTATATCGATTTCTTGATGTTCTCATGGTGTTAATTTATATCGATTTCTTGATGTTCTCATAGCGGTCAATGTGTGATAATTTCTCATAGCGGTAATGTGTGTAGATTTCTTAAGTTCTCATAGTTGTAATTTGTGTAGATTACTTGATGCTCTCATAGTGGTAATTTGTGTAGATTTATAATTGTCTCACAATTGTAATGTATGTGATTTCTCGATGTTCTCATATTGATAATTTGTGCAGATTTCTTACTGTTCTGATAGTGGTAATATGTGTAGATTTCTCAAGGTGGTAATGTGTGTAGATTTATCGATGTTCTCATAGTGATAACGTGTAGATTTCTCATTGTTCTGATAGTGGTAATGTGTGTAGTTTACACAATGTTCTCATAGTGGTAATGCATGTTGATTTCTCACTGACGGAACTCGGTTGTAAGTCGATGAGACCCTGTATATGCCCGACAAACCAAAAACATGAAGAGGATACTTTACCCACTTGACCTGTTATCTACTCCCTAGAATGCCGCTCATGCCTGCAAACCTTCTGGCGATGTATCGTGGGCAACTCTGACTATCGCCTCCAACGCGCCGAGTCTGCAGACCCCGAGGCAGGAAACAGCGTTAGCGACATTGACATGGTGTCCAGATATCTGTTTCCGGTGACCTTTAGCCTGTTCAACCTGTGCTACTGGTTGATGTACTTTTACCTGGAGGTCAGATGACTAGACGGAGACCTCTGCAGCAATATCACCTGCTTCCTGTGATGTCAGCAATGGCTGAAGTCTGTCAGTGACTAATTTAACTATGTACCAATGTTCTATTTGTACAGTTGTATAGAGCTGAAACATGAAGAAAGACAGTTACTAATATACTCCTGTCCACGGAAATCTTTAGTAAAAGGAGAAAGATTTGTTCGTTGTTAAAAAAAACCAGAGTGACTAATATACTACAAATATTTTTTAGGTGGTGATTATGCAGAACAGGGGAATTAAAATGGTATGATAGAATCAACGGTGTGTAGCTTTAGGACTGAACCAAGTTTCTTTTTTTTTCTGGCTGTACATAACAACTGCACTTTTTAAAGCCTTTTTGTTTACAATACTGCTGTAATAGACATTTTGTTGTGAGTACCTGTACCTCTTATTTTTTATTTTTTTATTTAGTGAATCAAGAGGTAAAGAAATTATACTAGTGCTACACTGAACACAGTATGGGAAAATCGGATAACAACATAACAATTGGCTGTACGTAGCATCGACCTCACTTTCATATTTATACATGATATATACACCCCCCCCATCCCAAAAACTTTGTAATAAACGCCGGTATCTTTTTTAAAAAGGCACTTTGAGTACCAGCACTTTTTTTTTGCTATCCTCTGAATAACGGTCGGTAAAGATAGCGGCCGAAAAATATCCTTTTGAGCCACAGTCACTTAATTTGCGGTTCTCCAGCGACTACCGCCACCGCCAAGAGTCTCCCACGCCGCTCACGCCGCGTGGATTGGGGCTAAACTAGATGGCTAGGACTCACGAGCAAAGCTTCAGGAGATGCAGAAGCTGCTGCTCGTGGGTCCTAGCCATTTAATTTAGCCCCAATCCACGCCGCTTATGTGACACACTGTAGATTTATAATGTCCTTGCACTGGAACCGACTGTCATGGGGAAGTAAACACGACCGGCGTAATGCTGACAACATTACCCAGTTCCGGGCTCCTGTTATAGGG